GTAATAATTGGTTCTCTGTCTTCTGAAAATTCAACAAAACCGATTGTTTTAACTGTTGAACATTTAGAAAAGACAAATTTTCAAACAGTTTCGAAATTATTCAATGATTCAATGAGTATATTATGGCCTGAAAAAGTATTGCATGACAAAGTGTTATTGTATGTCACAGACGCCGCTCCTTATATGGTAAAATCTGGACATGCGCTTAAAGTATTTTATCCTAAACTAATCCATATTACTTGCATGGCCCATGGGCTTCATAGATTATCAGAAGCTATTAGGGATAAATTCTCAAATGTTGATTTGTTGATATCTAACACAAAAAAAGTTTTTTTAAAAGCACCTAGTCGTGTAGGTACTTTTAAAGAAAAATGTCCAAACTTAAGTTTACCCCCACAACCTATTATTACCCGATGGGGAACGTGGCTTGATGCCGCGTTTTATTATGGTAAAAATTTTGACAAAGTCAAAGAAGTTATCAACACATTTAACCCAAATGATGCAAAGTCTATTCAAAATGCACAACAATTATTTAATGATAACTCGATCAAAAATGAACTTTCGATAATTCTATCAAATTTCCAATGTATAACAGACACTATTACGTGTCTAGAAAAATCTGGTGTCAATCTTGGAAAAAGTCTAGAATTGGTTCAAAATGTAGAAAATAAATTGAGTGAAGGAGGACGAGGTATTGAATTTGCTAAAGTTAAGCTATCGGAAGTATTATCAAAAAATCCCGGATTATCACAAATAAAAAAAATTTCTGAAATTATAAGTGGAGAAATAAGAAACGACGATGAAGACCTAGCAGAGTTGTCACCAGAAGATATTTCTTGTTTCAAATACGCACCAATTGTGTCAGCAGATGTGGAAAGAAGTTTTTCGAAATACAAGGTAATGCTACGCGACAATCGCAGAAGTTTTCAATTTGATAATTTAAAAGCACATTTTGTTACATCATGTTGGTACTCATTCAATAATTAATACAAATTGTTATTCTTTATACATATTTTAAAAAATAATATTTAAATTGTATTTTTTTTTCACTTAATACCATATTTTTAAATTTTTTTTTTAAATTTTGAATTTTTAAACAATAAATTTTTTTGCATATTATTTGCATATTTTTGAATTTTTGAGTGCATATATATGTGCATATTTAACAAAAATTTTTGCATAAAAATCCGGGCCCTAGTAATAACTATTTTTTTTGTTGCTTAGCAATTTTGTACACGGACTTACACGAAGTGTTTTTGTTGGGATATCATTAGTTCTTTTGTAACATTTATATACCAGCATGTAATATGATTTGCAGATTTTTCAGGTTTTTATTTATTATTATATTCAATTGTTGTTGCATTATTATGATATACACATCTTTACCCCACCGGGGCCTTCGTTCAAAATGTATTGAAGTGTCATTACATCGTAGCCATTTATTTTGATGTAAAATTATACATGTATAATGGGCTTCATTCATAGATGGGCCATGATAATTTCTGTTGACACACTTAAGAATCCATTTTAATAAAATGGAAACAAATTATAAAACATCTATTCAATATATTGTTTAGTTGCAATACAACAAATAACACGCGGTTATTATATTTTACGGCGCGGCAGCGAGAACACATGTCAACACTCAACACCGAACACCGCCAGAACGAATACGATATTACCATATAAGTATTTACTACTTTCATAAAATATTACGATGAGTGAAGGCTCAGGCAACTGCGGGAACCGTTACCTAGTGTACGACGTATCTATACGTATACGACATAGGGGAGTGGGTAATACGGTCTCTAGCGCTGCAACGTCGGAAGTTATTACAAAAACGGTCGGGCACCATATCTTTTCGCCTCAAAAGTACCTAAAGTTTTTTGCTATATATTACGGCCAGCAAAAAGTGAGCCGCGATACCAGTGCTCCTGGTGGCTGAATTTCATCAGGGTTTCCACAATGATATGCGATTACGCTTAAATACACCACTAGGAACGTAACGTTCACGGCTCACTTGTCGCTGGCCGTACTATAATATATTCGGTATTATTCGACCAATTTTTGAAAAAATTACAAAGGTATAATCTGCATATCATACCCGATTTATTGATACCACAAACGGACCAATCTGTCCGTTCATTAGGTCTGTAGGCCTGGGTGAAGGAAATGGCAAACTGGCTCGTGGAATGTACTACGGTCGTGACCTCCGCTTTTATTTTTTCACTTAGCTTCGCGCCACTAGTGGCCCTCTACCGTTGTGCTGGATAATGACGTGATCAACCAAAATTATTTACAATATACATTTAGTATTATGTATTAACTATTAAGTATATTACGCAAATTTTATTGTATATGTTATAATACATTGATGTATAATGTGTCATTAAATAAAATTCATTAATTCACAATTCAAGTGCACCTTATAGTATATACTATACGAATGTACCTACAATAAATACATACTTACATCACAATACATATACATTATACATATTTTGAATATATTTGAATGCTTGAGTACTTCGCAACGGAAAAACAATCATACATTAATGAATACCTTAACGTTGTCCAGAAAACGGTATATCGGTGCAGGATTACAAAAATTTGTTGTTGGGATACATGTTTATTTACAAACACATTTCTTTCATTTTCTAAATTCAATTTTACAACTTACAAAACTATCTACACAAATGACACATTTTCGAAGTCTAGTTGCAATTATTGTCCGCGAATTTATTGCCCAAACTTTGGGTAAACAAATTACGGAAGTTGATGCTGATGATTTCATGTGGTACTCGCATACACTCAGAAAAACGAGCGCTTGTAATGGTATCAGAGATACGGTACAATGTATTATGTATATCTTAACTGGAAAACATGCTAAAACACAGGACGTTGGGGATTTACTTGCAAAATGGATCATTAGAGTATTACCGTTAACCAAAGTATGTACGGCCCTTAATTTAAATTCAAAATGTTTTACAGTATTTTTATTTTTATAGATGATTTTTGGTGGTACTGTTATTGATAAACAATTTACGCTAACAACTGATGAATCATATCCATATAATATTCAAAGACATGGGTGGAAGACAAGAACACGCAACTCTGTATTTGATCCTCACGAAGCAACATTGAGAGATATCGACTATATATATGACAAATTTAATTTTCCTGAAAACCCATTGTCAAATGCGGAACCCCCCAAACGTCGAAGAGAACATATTGACAATATGCAGTTGCTTTCACCACCCCGAAGGGTCAGAAGATGCGGTATCGAACAACTAACCGCTTCTAGCAGCTCTATCCATGAGATACCGTACGAGGATACCGTATGTATACATTTATCTATGATTAGAAAAAATTGTTGTTGTTTATTGAAAATTGTTGCTTACATACATTATTTTTTTAAGAAAACGGCTTGCTCGCAGTATGTAGACAACATAAGACAGATTGATTCGAGATGCCAAGAGCAGATTTATGAAAGTAGACCAATCCGGAGTAGAATGTGTAAAGCAGTATGTCCCCCTGTAGACAATAGTACAACAACGGATTTACCTTCCTGCAGCCAAGAGCAAATAAGCAGAAGCCCGATTGATTCGAGATGCCAAGAGCAGATTTATGAAAGTAGACCAATCCGGAGTAGAAGGTGTAAAGCAGTATGTCCCCCTGTAGACAATAGTACAACGACGGATGGACCTTCCTGCAGCCAAGAACAAATAACTAATATACAAACACGACAAACAAGACCTCAACGAACACGGAGAAAACCACAATTTCTAAATGACTATGAATGCAATTAAATATCTTTGTCGGCATATAAATATATATATTTTAATCCTGCACAGGTTAATTATGATATCTGAAAATAAAATTTATAAAATACAATCTATATTAAAAATATTTTGTTAATTTTTTTTTTCCTTATTTAACAGATCTAATAGTAATCCTGTAATAATGTTCTGGAACACATTTCAATAATCATTCAGTTAATTTAATAACATCAATCAGCATTTAAAGTTCGATTTTTTAGTTTCTGAAACTGGAAACCTATAGTGTCAGGTTTGCTTAACAATTTATCCAAATGACATTATTAGGGGAAATTAATATTTAACACCGGGATAATCTAATTTAGCCTAATATAATATGATAATAATAAATTGAATATAATGAATGATTATAAAATTAATTTAAAATTATTATGTACAATTAACTTACAAAACGAACACGTTGAATAATCAATGATGGTATAGCTGTAGGTTTTAACATAGTATTTTTAATATACACATTAAAAGAGTCAGCCACAAAATGAGCAGAACACACAACACTTTTTTCTTTAACTATTATGCTTCTATGCTCATCATAGCGTCTACTGAACTCGATCCACTTTTCATGGATATCTGGACATTTTGGATACCTATGTAAGCAAAATCATTCAAAATGTATTAAGAAAAAAATAATAATGGTGGAATAACTTCAGATGCTCATGAAAGAAAGATATTTCTGAAAGATTATTAGAGCAAGTATGATTTGTTAGATGCTTATACTTCATAAGAAAGCACAACAATAAAATTATATCCAAGGTACAAAGATATGTCAATCCATTAAAAAATACTAATAAATCTCACTCACCTGTGAAAAGTAATTTTGTTTTCTTTACTCTTAGAGTTTTGGGTTCTACCACACAAATTACAGCTGGGCATTGTAATATTTAAATGAAAACAATTTTTAAAATGTACATAACCAGACATAAAACAGTAAATTGAATAGTAACTAGCACTATTAGAATATAGAAACCTCTGAGGCTGTCTTAAGAGTTAAGAGTCGAATGCGGAATGACAGTTAACAAAACACAAAAACGTTGTTGTTGTTTACACTCTATGGTAAAATGTATAAAACAAAAAACGTACAAAATATAAATCTGAGGTTAGAATTTGCGCGCTACCTCGCGGCCAATAGTATCGGCAAGTGAGTACTTGTGATAACTGGCCTGCTTCACTTTCTGAACACGTACGGTATGGACTAGACCCTCTCTATATTACTCTATGGTTGGCATTCATATAACGGATCTTAAGTATTATATTATCCTCTCTTAATTTAGGTACTTCATACACTAGTATGTCTCGTGTAGTGGGATTTTTATAATTTATTATATATTTGTATGCCTCTTTGTTTAACGAATGGCGATTTAGAATATTTTGATTAACAAGGGTCTTTAGTTTATGGTTAATATATTTTCGGCTATTTTGATAAAAGTCACTTGTCATGACTATTGACATCATTACCTCAAAATCGTCAGATATATGTTTTACCTAAAATTTGTATATAGCATATAGATATGTTTTACTATTGATCAATAGTATTCATTAGGTTCATATTGATTCATTTACCGTGTGATATTTTTCTTTTGAGTTTTTTAAATATTTTTCCACAAATACAAGCACCAATATTGAATAATATTCGTAAGGTGAATTATCATTTTTCCAGCTACTGAGGTCAAATACAATTTTGCTGTTTGAATCAATTACAGTCATAGACTCCTGTTCATCGAGAACACTGTTGGATACAAATATTTCAAAACATGTTGAGTGTAAAATAAATGTAAGTTAAATAATATTACAATTCAGTATGGTGGAACTGCAATTTTTTTGAATAGTTTTTGACATCATCTATAAATTTAATAAAATGATATCTAATCAATCGATAATAAGAACAGCAGTTTTTTGTATTTAACCCTTTCTTCAAGAAGTTTAGTGTACAAATAAATTTGTACACTATTGTCATTTTGCAACATAGAATGTGTATCATTACTGCCTTACAAATATTTGTAGTTACATCATTGCTGTAATTTATGAAATAAACTGTATTAAAATTTAATATTATTATTTTATATTCCCAAGACTTACACTTTTACCGATACAAACTCATCACATATGTCCCATTTATTTGAGAAGAGTTCGTTTAAAATTTTAGCGAATTGTACATTATCCAACCTTTTTTGAAGCTGCAATTTCTGCCACAGCCAATATGGCATATTGTCATTATATAAATTTCTAAAAATCAATTTCATTCCAGGAGTATTTTGGAATTCAACACAATCATAACTTATACCTGACTCAATCTCCACATTTATTTCTGTTTTCATTACTCTTTGTATAAAAAAAAAATTAAATATTGTATTTATTTATATTGTAATTATATATTTAATATTAAAAAAATTGATATTAAATCATATTTAATATGATTTTTAAATCTACATCTTACTTTGTGTTACACATCTTTAAATATGATTGAAATGTCACAGAATTAATTTTATTATACATAGTAGTGTACATTTTAGCTTTTACTTTTTTGCCTTTTTTTTTATACGTAGGTGTATTATCAACATACAACTTTGCTGCACTATATTCATTTTCACTTTGGCTGATGCACTCAGCTAGTGCAGAAAAGTGGCTATCATGACATAGCAGAGTTCTCTCGGTATGGATAGAAATCCAATTTTGATTAGCAGCATGATCATTAAAGATATAATTGGACAATAGCATGTGATCCATAAATTTACCAAAGCTATCCATTGTAAATTTAATCAAATTTATATCTATGTTATTGAATTTTTTTTTTAAAAAAATTAAACAGGAAGCTATGTCACGCGAAATTTCCTTAAAAAAATATAAAAAAATTTCAACAATTATAAAATTCCAAGGGTGGATCCAGGGGGGGGGGGCACTGGGGTGTCAATTGACTCCCCTTTTGGAATAAAAAATGTACTATAGAAATCTACGTATTGTCGTGAATGTATTAAAATAAATGTAAAAAGGGGGTCAAGTGGATGTCGCTCTGATGTACAGTAGGTAACACGTGGATTTTGAGCGTAAATACATGATGGATCCGCCCTTGAACCATGCATAACATTCTCTAATCATAAATTTAATTGTAGGTACATTTTTATAGCGATGTTGTTTGCCACTTCTTATTCGTTCAACCACAACTGACTCAATCGCAGGTAAAATACAAAAAGGACCGTTGTCTGGGTATATGAAATCCGTTTCCCAGCTGCGTACTAATCGTATATAATTTTAATTAATATTACATAAATTAAAAATCGCCTTCAAAGAATATCTACTTACACCCAAACTGCCTAAAAGTACAAACGAGCTCATTATTTGGTTGTCTTTGTGGATACAAGGTATGATATGTTTCTCCATTTAATGCCCAAGTTGCAATTTTTTTGCTTCTTTGGGAAATCATTTTTATACTTCAGTCAGACATCAACCAAAATTATTTACAATATACATTTAGTATTATGTATTAACTATTAAGTATATTACGCAAATTTTATTGTATATGTTATAATACATTGATGTATAATGTGTCATTAAATAAAATTCATTAATTCACAATTCAAGTGCACCTTATAGTATATACTATACGAATGTACCTACAATAAATACATACTTACATCACAATACATATACATTATACATATTTTGAATATATTTGAATGCTTGAGTACTTCGCAACGGAAAAACAATAATACATTAATGAATACCTTAACGTGGTGTCGTAGGGCGTATGCAGCGCAGGAACAACAGCTAGAACAGCATACTCACGCGATGGGCGGCCAGTTAATACTAACTACTACAAATGTACAAAACTAATCTAATAAGCGATGTTAGTGATAACGTGTTATCGTCGTTCCAAAGACGTTGTAACAACTCGAAACCCAAACAAAAATTCCACCCATAAGAAATATACAGCGAATAATTTGGAAATTAATTAATTAATTAAAATAAGTATATTTTACACACAATTTTCGGTGCATAATGTTCACNAGGATTGTTTTTCCTCATATAAAGCTACAGGGGTGTTGGTTCCATTTCTGCCAAGTGAGTTGATCTATGATTATTGATTTTTGAGCAACTGAGTACCTATATGTAATAAAATATGTTACTTTTATTAATTTATTCATTCATATAAATGTATCAATGTATTCACTCAATCAAATTATATAGTCTGTTATCCGGTACTGCAAAAGAAGTATGAACAGTCTATTCCATCTATTTCAGACAAGTGTTGAGGCTGCAATAGTTTTACGCATGGTAATATGATATTATGATGAAACGTTTTGTTATTATTTAATTTGCTTAAAATTAGTTTGATTAAATTCAATTTGGGTTTTGAATTTTTAGGTGTTAGCTCTACCTCATCTTCCTGCTGAACCCCAAATGAATTGCAGTTTCACAATGTTTGATGGTTTTCGAATAATTGTAGATTATGTTAACCAACAACCAGCAATTCGCGAACGCTTACAAGCATTTTTATTTGGCTACATACAAGATTTTTGGTTAACACAAATAACTGCTTTTAATTTTAATATTTGATTATCCTCGTAGTTAGAATAAAACATTTTAAAAGTTATGGATATTTTAATGTGACCTATATATAAAAGTTGTGTTTTAAATTTAAATTGTAAAGATGTGTCAAATTTTTTTGTTTGTGTTATTGTTTGAGAACATAAAGCCCATATGTGTGAAGGAAACTTCACACCGTCATAAATATAAATGTCAAAATTATAATCAACAAAATATATTGTTGATTGACAACTTTGTGTGATATTAATATAAATAATCATAAAATCACTTAAAAAGCAGTCACTAACTTTGTCTGGATTTAAAAACTTATAGCTGTTTTAAGTACCCTAAGGACTACACGACAGATATTTAAAAAATATATTTTTAGTACGGTAAAGTGACAATATATTTATGTATCACATGGTATATGCTTATATGTTCCACTAAAAAGTACTTAGTAAAAGGAAGCTTATGAAAATAGTCAAGTATTGGTCTAGTTATAAGGTGCACCATTTATAAATGTAAATTTTTAGTGGCTTTCTGAAAAAAGGTTCATTGACGCCGATTCCCGAAACAAGTCTGGTTTACCACGCCCTTGAGAAATGCAAACAAAAACTGTCACTTGGACTTCCTTTTAAAATTCACCAATTCGGCATTCATTTCTAACACAATCTATAGATTCTCTTCATCAGTTACAATTTAACAAACAATTATATTTGGAAATATATAAGTGACAACAATTTTTTTTAAATTTCTGAAGGATTGAAGATCATGGTCAATAAGATTTTAGATAAAAGTCAATTAAATAGTACAAACATAATATTATTATGATTTTATACTTTGACTTAGGTTTTAATTTATTGATTCCAATACTTTAAATAGTGATCATAAATGGAACTCACTGTATCTTAATTCCAACCTCACAAAAGTAGGTACTGTATAAAAACTATTTAACTTACACCATAGATTAAATCGGAAACTACTGTAAATTTTAAATCAACAGTTTCACTTATTTTGAACTTAACTTCTTTCCATGTTTCGCTTAGAATATCATAATACTCAACACCATTGGTAGACATCTAAAAAAAAAATGTTAAGATATTATTAAGATCTTGTTGTTCAGGCAGTATTATACTACAATACTTTATTATTTCTTAAATTATCTATCTAAATCAACCTTAGTTAATGGGATACGAGTATGTTGGATTTAAAGTCAATGATAAGTCATTGCATTCCAAAATCAATTCTGAATGGAAACAGTCTACCTATGTATATTTATAGTGTAACAAATTATATTGATATAAATATGGTATGGCAAATATTAAAATCTTTGTGACATAAGTACCCCCCCCCCACAAACTCATAGTGTTTGCCTGTTTAAAAAATCCTTGGGCGTAGTGAACCTAAAGAATTATATTAGCAAATAATACAGACATTTATTTATAGAATTTTCTATTATGTTTGAACAATTTAACAGCAACAGTTGATAATCTATTTCTTCAACATGTTTGAATCAGAAATGAATAGGTACTAGGTGTAATTAGATTCAACCCTTAAAATGTTTTTAGTAGGCAGCTCACATTGTACTATTTATACTTAAATCATATCTCGCAGACCGACACTTCCAGGTCCATTATGGTTCTTCAGACTAATATAGCAGGTGTTCCGCAAGGTGGTATCCTCTCCCCAATTCTATACAATATATATACATCCGACCAACCGACCACGCCTAACACATTAGTAGCAGACTATGCGGACGATTAAGTCATAATATCATCCAGTCCAGATCCTATTATAGCCTCCACAAACCTACAAAACCATCTTTCATTAATGGAAGATTGGTATAAAAAGTGGGGTTTTAAAATAAACCAAGCCAAATCAGTACATACCACATTTACACTTAAATTAGTACCATGTCAGGAGGTATCTTGCTTTTTGGTACTCAGATCCCCTCATCCCCAAATGTTAAATATCTTTGGCTAACTCTTGATCGCCGTCTTACCTGGGCTCACCACATCACTCCCGTTTACAAATGCTCAACACCCTAATCGCCAACAACAAACACTCAAAACTAAATATTAAGCTACTCCTTTACAAATCTCTCCTAAAGCCAATTTGGACATATGGCTTACAGTTATGGGGCAACGCGAAAATTTCCAATCTAAATAAAATTCAACAGTTCCAAAAAAAAATGTTAAGAAAAATCTCCAATTTTCCACCATAATATGTCACAAATCACTTCCTGCATAAAGACCTACACATGAAAACAATTCAGGAAGAGGCGAAAAATTATTATAAACAATTCTACCTACGCCTTAACTCTCATCCAAACAAACTTATAAAAAACCTAGCTTCATTCACCATCCCTAGTAACCCTCCTCGCCGCCTTAAGCGAAAATGGTGCAGAGACCTACTTAATCCCTAACAAAAAAAAAAAGAATAAGGCTAAAACAAAATAATTAAAAGAAGTAAGTGTCATCGATGGGTGGCTTCTTCATTCAAAATTTCATTCTTCCTTGTCATTAGTTCATACTATTATTGTGCCGATTGCGTATAGATTGTGTGTATATTAATAAAGAAAAAAAGGAGGCAGTCCTATCTATGTCCTTGAGGGGACAAAGTAGGTCACCTTTTTAATTGAGCTGTCCTATATACCTATCTATATATTTTGATTGTTTTTTAATTAGAATCAAAATTGTATTTATTATACGGTTTTCAGAATAAGACAACGGCAATAGTCTGTAAAGTGGTGCTTATGGCCTTATGGGCAAACTAGAACTTTGTCAACCGTCCAGTCCGTTCTTGTTCAAAAAGATTATAGTGTCCAGTATTAATAGAAAATAGCTAAAATGAATCTAAATATTTTGGAAATACCCCTGCATATATTAAAATATAATAAACATAAATATGTAAACACTTCAATTTCCCACTAATATTTTTGAATTGCAACAAAATAACTAAAACTGCAGTTATTGAATTCTTTGAATTACACTCTGTCATTATTTAAACTTCAAATGTCTAGAAAAAAAAATGTTCATTTATTTTTTTTAGATTTTTAGGGTTATTAAGAATTTATTATTCTGATGAAACCTTGTATTACATTTTCAATCCTTTACTATAAAAATTGGATATTTTATAAATTTGTAATTATAAAATAATTTTGCAAAATTTCGGCAAATTATTTATAATTAATATTTTTATTTTTTTTATATTTGTATTTATATATATATTTTTTTTTTTGTTATTAATTATTTTAAATTATTCATAGTAAAATTATGCATAATATGTGTTTTAATATTTTTAAATCACTAAAATAAAACTTATGTGGAATCTTATACTTATACCATACATTTTCAATGTTTTTTATCAAGCATACATTTTTTTTTTAATACTTTCAAAAAAATTTACTATTTCAGATAAATTGTATTGAGTACCTATTACTACCACTAGTCACTTATTACTAGGTACCTATAGAAAATTAAAATGTAAGTAACAGTGGAATGCTTCAAGTTTCTACAGTTAATACTGTTTAAATAACATAAAAATAATTAAAATTATTTGACAAGAAATAACTATTGAAAATGTCATGGATTTTTTAAACAAAAACAAGTTGTATGATACATAAATATAAAAATTTAAAAACATGTTAAATATGTACCTATAAACAGTATAATATTTTGAAAATTTTCCTTGTCTTATAAATGGCAATATTAATATTCAGTGAACATTTAAGTCTACAGTTATTCATTTTTGACTTTGATAACAATAAATACAATTTGATTTGGGAAAAACTTGGTTTAAAGGATAACATCCAGTTTTTCCAAATATAAAAAGAGTCTTTAAAGCTTAAACACAAAAAATAAGTAATAACAGAGATCATTGAAAAATCAATATAGTATTCATTACTTCCCTTAGAATCTAAAATTACACTCAATAACAGCTGCGTGACACTGGCACCCACAATTTTGAAATTTAGATCAAAAACTAATCCAGTAATCATTGTACACTTATACAATTTATAACCACAATTTCAAAATGTATATCCCCATATCTTCTTAAATGCTTTAATGCATTTAAGTCCTAGTATTATAAAACAAATGCCATATTAGTTACCTAGCTATGTTTTAAATTATAGTTGAAAAACATACAAGGATTTATAAACTTAGATTTGAGTGTCCAACCCAAATGTGGTGTTTGGGTTGAATGGCCAAATATTATATACAAATTTGGGTGCCAACGTCATGTGATCCTAGCATCAGCTTAGTGATTTAGAATTTTAGATTTGGGGGAGGGACGAGGCAGTCAACAAATTTGTAAAATTGTATGACAACTACTGCTGTAGTTTTTGAACATTATTTCATACGAGTGTGCCGGCATCACACAGTTACAATAATAAAGTTAAGTTTAAATAAATACATAATCTTTTAGTTCTAATATTTTATAATTATTTGAATTTGAAAGATTTAAATGCATCATAAATTGTTACACATACTTACTACATAGACTCGGTCATAAAATTGTATGATACTTGAACAATTATGAACAAAAAGAGGGGTACTTAAAGTCTTCCATATTTTTAGATTTCCATCATATAATTTGACAGAATTAACACTGAAACCAGATATTTATCACATAGATTAATGTATATAATACTTCATTGTCATATATAAAGTAATTGAGCTATTAAAATTTACTCATATTCTATTATTTAAACTTCATTTTACGACAAAGTAATATGATTTTCCATAATCATGATTGTAACTTCATATTTTATGTTTAAGGAGATGATTTTAAAGACTATTTCTAATAATAAAATATGTTACTATTGTAGTCAGAATATATTCCTGTCACTTATATTTACCAAAAATTTTACTTACCCAGTACTGCAATTTATACTAAAGATTCTACCATCTTTTAGTATTAAATTTGATGTAGTGTTGTCAGAAGGCCATGTTAATGAACATTCATAAAAAGCTTTGTTCATTTTGTCAAACCACTCAATTTTTGAATAATCTGATTTCCTATATAATACCATGACCTAAAAA